GCCTCAGCATGGCCGGAGAAGCGGTGCGTCGGTGCGCGCCTGGGATCCGAACCCGGGCCGCCAGCAGTGGAGCGCGCGCACTTAACCGCTAAGCCACGGGGCCGGCCCCCTTCCTGATTTCTCTTGTCTGCTGCTTCTGTCATTTGGAGAGAGGTGTGCTGTCAGTGTCCGACTATGATTAGTTTCACCCGTTTCTCTTTGTTGCTCCGTCCACTCCTGATTTAAGTATTTTGAACCTGTGCTGCGGTGCAGTTAGGACTGTCACATCTTCCTGTCGAGTCGACCCTTTTGTCACTGTGACATGTCCTCCCTGACGTGTAGTGATGCTTAATGCCTCAGCGTCGACTGGGTCTGACGTTGGTACAGGCACCCAGCTGTCTTCTGGTGCTTGTGTAACTTTTCCCGTCTTTCCTCTCCAGTCTTTCTGTATCTTTATAATTAAAGTGAGAGTCTCGTAATTAGCAAGCTGGTTTTGTAGCCAGTCTGACTATTGATCTTTTAATTGGGGTGTTTGAGTCCATTTACACGTCGTGTAGTCACCCATCTGGTGGAGTCTGTCTCCCATCTGGCTCATTTTCTTTTGACTCTGTCTTTTGTCTTTACTTCCATTTTTGAAGAGCACAGAATTCTGGTTTGGTAGTACTGTCTTCTGGCTGCTTTTACAGTTTTTGTCTTGAGTTTTCAGCAGTTCGACTGTATGCAACTTTTTTTTTTTAAATCCCAGTTGGGGGGTCACTGAGATTTTTAACTATGTGAATTGATGTCTTGATTCATTGTGGGACATTCTCAGCTCGCGCCCCCGTCAGGTATCGCCCGTGCCCACTCTCCCTTCTCCTCTCCTCTGCGACCCCGCTGACGGGAGCCAGCCCTCTGTGTCCCATGTCTCCTCAACTCCACTCTAGGTTTCCGTTCTCCTTCCTTTTTTTTTTTTTTGCTGAGGAAGATGGCCCTGGGCTAACAGGTGCCTATCGTCCTCTACTTTATATGTGGGACGCTGCCACAGCATGGCTTGATAAGTGGTGCGTATGTCTGCACCCAGGATCTGAACCCACGAACCCCCGGCTGCTGAAGCAGAGCACGTGAACCTAACCACTGCGCCACGGGGCCAGCCCCGCCCCTTACTTGTTACTGTGCTTCACCTGGGATGTTTTTATTGCCTTGTTCTAGTTCACTAGTCCTGTCTTCTGTGCTCCTAGCCACTGGGTTCTTCATTACAGATATTGTGTTTTTCAGTTCTAGAATGTCAAATACAGATAGATTCCAACTCTGGAAATTCTCCATTATTGCATCTGTTTCGTCCGTCATTTCCTCTACTGCCGTCAATATATGAATTCTCTGATAACGCCGGTTTCTGAAACATGCGGGGGCGTGTTTCCATTTTCTGTTTCTCAGCACACTTTGTAATTTCTGCAGGATGCTGGACGTTGTCATGACAACAGTAGTCCCATGCAGGGCAGCCCAGGTCAGGTTACCTGCCCCCGCACAGGTGCGGCCTGGGTACCGAGTGGAAGCTTCCTGGGTGCCTGCTGCATTGTGCCAGGCGCAGCCCCAGGTCCAGAGGCAGAGCCCACAGGACCCCCGCACAGCTCACTGCAGCAGGCTCCAGGGAGGTTCCAGGGGCCCCTCCTGGGCACAGCCCCAAGGTGTGGCCTCACCTGCTGGTGGCTGTGCCCAGACAGCCCACCCTCCCCGGGGGTCCCACTGCTGCACAGCAGGGGCAGGCCAGGAGCCGAGAGGTTTTGTGCAGAGGAGGACAGAGGGCACAGGGAGAGTCCCAAACCCCCCCAGAGCCCCACATACTCTGGCTGCCCTGGGGTGGGAAGTCTGTGTCGGGAGATGGCCATTTGAGGTGCGGGCGGGGTCACGGGCCCCTCACAGTGGGGGAGACAGCCACATGGAGACGGGCTGGGTCTCAAAGCCACCAGGGTCCCACTGCTCCGATGGGAAGAAGCACGCAGGTTGGGGGGTGTTTCTTTCCTTTATTAAAAAAAATCATTTGGGGGTGCGGTGTGAGGAGGGCACACCATTCATGGCTTCGGGGAGGACACAGGTTCCAGCAGGAATCACTGGGGCAGAAACACATAGGGTGGGAGATCTGGGGGCTGGGGAGGGGCTGCGCCCTCCAGCACCTCTGGGCGGAGCGCTCACTCGGGGCCGGTGGGGGGCTGCAGTATGCATGGGGGTGTGGGCCCGCGGGGACGTGGCTGGCCCAAAGTATCGCCCTCCCAGGCAGACAGGGTCTGCGGCCTGTGCGCTGGGCTGCAGGGGCCGGGAGGGGCCTGTCCAGAGAGGCGGGACAGGGTGGACCTGGGCCTGGCGGGAAGCCAGCCTGCACGGCCTCCAGGGGGCTCGAGCCCCCACCAGGAGTCCTCCTTCCCAGGGCTCAGGCCAGCATCCTGGGGGCCGGGGTCGGGGTGGCCTGAGCGTCCCCAGCTAACAGACCAGACCAAAAGGAACACAAGACCCACCCACAGGCAGCAGGAGGGCCCCCAACGTCCCGGCTCCTACCAGAGAAAGGGGAATACAGGCTGCATTGCTGTGTGCAGTTAACAAACAAACAGGAGACGACGTCCTGCCCGAGTCCTGCGGACTGGTGGCCGGTCTGCGGCCCTGAGCTGCAGGGACGGTGGGCGGGACACCCCCGCCCAGGGCCTGGCAGACCCTGGCTTGGGGCGGGGGCAGGCCAGTCTGCCCGCGGAGTCCTGAGGGATTGTCTCAGACGGCCCCGCCCGCCCCGGCTCCTCTCACCAGGCAGCCACACTCGCCCCATGGAGACGCCCGGAAACGTGGCCGGGGAGGGCAGGCAGCGTGGGGGGCCCACCAGGGCTCGGCCTGAGGTGTGGGGCACCTACTTGTACGAGGTGATGTGGCAGCCCGGCCGTCCTCTGGGACGCGCTGCGGGCCAGGCGGCCTAGGTGTAGAAGATGACCTCGGGGACCCAGCCATCCTCCAGGGGGGACACGCTGGGGGCCGGGCGGCCTAGGTGTAGAAGATGACCACAGGGCCCGGCTGTCTTCTGGGACGCGCTGGGGGCCGGGCGGCCTAGGTGTAGATGATGACCTCAGGGACCCAGCCATCCTCCAGGGGGGACACACTGGGGGCCGGGCGGCCTAGGTGTAGAAGATGACCTCGGGGACCCAGCCATCCTCCAGGGGGGACACGCTGGGGGCCGGGCGGCCTAGGTGTAGAAGATGACCTCGGGGATCTGGCCGTCCTCCACGGACGTGCCGTTGTTGTTCCCGGCTGCGTAGCAGAAGGTGAAGCATGTCTTGGCCCCCGTCGTGGGCGACTCGTGGGTCACCTTGCGCAGACCCTTGGTGCCGTAGTGGGAGTCCGGGCCCTGCGGGGTGGGTCACAGCACGGTCAGGACCCCACAGGTCGGGGAGGATGTGCCACGGTGGACGGAGCTCGGGAACCCCAACTGGGTGAGGCAGCAGAGCCCCCCAGGTATCTGTGCTGTGGGGGCCTCCAGGCAGCAGGCCTCCACGTCAACAGTGATGGTCACTCCCTCCCAGCCCCACACCACTGGAGGGGGCCAGTGGAGTGGGAGTCGGGGGACCAAGGTCTTGGGTAGGGTTCAGGGGTCAGAGACAGGATCTGAGTCAGGGTTAGGGTCAGAGGTCAGGGTGGGGATCTTGGACAGGGTTCAGGGATCAGAGTTGGGTTTGGGGATCAGGATTGGGGTCAAGTCAGGCTTGGAGTCGGGGTCAGCGTCCTGGGTAGGGTTCACGGATCTGCGTCCCGGGTGAGGTTCAGGGATAGGGGTCGAGGTGGGGGGTCCTAGGTGGAGTTGGGGGGTCCGGGTCCTGGGTGGGGTTTGGGGATTGGGGTTGATTTGGGGGTCCTGGGTGGGGTCCCAGGGTTGGGGTCAAGGTCCTGGCTGGGGTTCAGGGCTCAGGGTTGGGGTTGTGGTCCGGGTCTTGGGTGGGGTTCGAGGATCGGGGTCAAGGTGGGGGTCCTGGGTGGGGGTCGGGGTGGGGCCCACCTTGAGCGTGGCGCAGGCCGTGTAGTTGACGTTGGGCAGCACCTCCACCGGCTCCTTGAACATGACCCGGAAGGTGCTGGCCGAGCCGTCGCAGCTGAAGCCGGTGTCGTTCTGGCCCAGGACGGTGTTGCTGTCCGTGTGGATGATCTGCAGGCAGGAGCCGGGCGCTCAGCCGGGCGCCCCACGGAGGCCGGGCCCGAGGGCAGAGCCCTACCCCCGGGCCCGGCGCGGGGTTGGCCTGGGACCCGCGAGGAGGCCGGTGGGGGCCGGGGAGGGCTATGGAGGGGGCGGACCGGGGTTAGGACATGGGGCGGGGCCTGGCGGTGGGCTCTGGGAGGGCGGGCCCAGGGCGGAGCAGACTGGGGGCGGGGCGCACGGCGGGACGGGGGGCGGGTACCTGGATGTTCACTTGGTAATCCGTGGGCCCGTGGATGGAGCCGTAGAGCCCGAAGCCAACCACGAAGATGCGCTTGTTCACCGAGAACCTGGCGCGGACGGAGAGCGAGACGCTGAACTCCGGGAGACCCCCACAACCAGTGCGCCCGGAACACGGACGGGGGAGCCTCCTGCGCTGGGGGCCGGAGGCTTCGGGATGGGCCACAGCCGGGGCCGCAGGACGCGCCTCCTAGGGACCGCCACCCGCTCGCCGCCCGCGCCCGGTCCCCGTCCCCCGTCCCCGCGCCCGCGCACCTGATGCGGTCGCTGGTGCCGCTGTAGCCCCAGCGGCTCTCCACCTGCTGGAAGCGGTTGATGCTGCACTCCTTCCCGCGCAGGCAGCAGCGCGGCCGGTCGATGAAGTCCACGCGCGGCTTGGGGTTGACGGTGAAGTGCAGGAAGAGGCTGACCACCTCGCGGTCCACGAGGATGCCCGACTGCGCCGGCCCTGCGGGCACAGGGGCGGTGGGTGGGCGGCAGGCCGGCCTGACGCCGGGAGGGCGCCGGAGGGTCGCCGGGGGAGCCCCGAGGGCTCAGAGACCCCGATGCCGGGACAGGCACCTCCGCTCCGCGGTGTCTCAGCGTGACGTCCGGTTTCCTGCAAACGTTAGGGTCCGGGCGGCCCAGCACTGGGGACGGGTCCCCCGCAGACACGGGCTGACACTGATTCACAGCTCATTGGGCAAAGTCCCCTCCCTGCACCCGGCCTCCACTGGGACCGCCCCTGGGGGACCACCCCTTGGGGACCACCTCTGGTTCACAGAGCAGGCGGCCGCCCTGCCGGTCCACACACGGGGCCATCGGCGGCTGAGGGGTGACTCGCAGCTGGAAGCAGCCCGGGGCTCCTGGCCTGGGGGGGGGAGTGAGGCCGTGAAGATGACAGCAACCAAGACAGACAGGCCCCAGCTGGAGAGGGGTCTGGGAGGAGGAGCCCCAGATTCAGAGATGTGACGGCGACTGGGAGGCCACACGCGGGGCTGGGGGCCGCCGGGCCACGGGTGGAAACTGGGGGCTAGGAGCCTCATGCACGCCCCTGCCCGTCACCCTTCCGCCACCAGGACAGAACACAGCACACCAGTCTCAGCCCACACCGTCCTCGAGCTCTACACGAATCTGTCCTTTGCCAACTCGGAACTCATTTCTACAGCAGGCCGGCCCCGGCCGTGCTCACGGCCAACACAGAGAGATCCCAGCAACGGGGAACCAGGTTTCCACGGGTGCCGTGAATAAGGAAGATACAAAATGGAATTCAGAACGTTAACCATTGTTGCCTTTAATCTCTGCAAAGAAAATGCAGAAAGAATACATCAGCCCTCGCCCGTGGTGCGCTCAGCCGGGGCAGACGGGGGGTGGGGGCTCCAAATTTCTACTTTCTCGTATTTTCAAGTGGAACATCACAAGCAGGAGATTCTCTACAACACACAGCGTGACAAAGGGCCGCAGCCCCGTGGGCGCCCACGGCACAGGGACGGGCCACACACACCGTCCCTCCCGGCGGCAAGTGGGGCCCTCGTGGGAGGAGCGGTGCGGGGGCCGCAGGAGGCTCCATTCCGAGGGCGAGGGGACAGTGCTTCCAGGTGGGCGGCGTCGCAGGGGCCTGAGACCCAGGTGGGCTGGGGGACCGCAAGGAGAGTGGCTGCAGGAGGGGCCCAGCGAGGCTCCCAGGTGTCTTGGGGGGACGGGTGATCGAACCCTGTAGCCATAGCTCCACCGGGAATCCCAACTCCCCCAGAAGACACCGGGCGACGTCTGGGGACGTCTGTGGTCGTCACAACTGGGGGAGCTCCTGGCATCAGTGTGGGGGCCAGGGATGCTGCTCCACCCCCCACAGCGCCCAGGACGGTCCCCCAGAGAGTGACCCGGCCGGGTGTCCGCAGTGCCCGGGCTGCCTCGGTCACCACCCACTGCCGGGGCCTGGTCCACAGGATATCTGATGACTGAGTGACCCCAGAGCGCAGGGACGGTCTTGGAGGTGACCCCAGCACCGTGTACACTGTGGACTGCCAGACAAAATGCAGGGTTCCCAGCCACGTCTGAATTTCAGGTGAAGAAGTCTGACCCATAGAATAAGGATGCCCCAGCCAGCAGACGGGAGACATTTACACTAAAAAATTATTTGTGTGCTGTGTTGCTAAATCTGGTGACCCCAAGACCGGGTGGGAGCGGGGGAGATAGAACGGTGGGTGCGTGCCAGGCACAGGGCTGCGTCACGGAGCCCCATCCAGAACCTTCCCGGCCTGTTTGGCTCCAGGGCCACAGCGGCAGCAGCCACGAGACTGACTTGAGGGAGAGGCCCAGCCCCAGGGGAGGGGGTTCCAAGGGGGCCACCGGCACCTCGTGGCCCCAGGACGTGGGCGTCCACACACTGGCCCTGAGCCCCAGGCCCTGCAGCAGCGGCCACTTCCCGCCCCTCCACGGGGCCCGTCAAGGACGCTGACGCCAGAGCCCGGCCCCCAGGACGCGAGCCCGAGACGGGGACACTCATACACACACGCGGACAGTGAGACACAGGGGGACACGGAGACACAGGAGGGCGGGAACAGCGGGTCGCTCCGGGTTCACACTCGAGGCACGGTCCAGGCTTCCACGAGGACACGCGGGTTTGTCATCGGCACACAGAGCACACACGTGTTCCTGGCAGGGGGCTCGCACGGTGGACACACAGCCGGCACCGGACCCGGGGTGGCCCGGCCGGGGGACACGTGACCGAGTCACACGCGGGGTCCCTGGGGGTCACGCTCCTCCGGAGCAGCCTCGCCCCCCTGACCGTTACCTGCAGCAAACTCCTCGATGGTCATCAGCGGGAAGCGGATGAGGGCCAGCGCCTTGCCCAGAACCTTCCGCTTGTTCTCGGGTGTCACCTGCAGCTGCTGCCGCTGACACTCGGCCTCAGACCAGCGGACGACGGCGTTGAACAGGCGCACCTCCCGGATGCCCAGGGTGTCCCGCTCCAGGACGGCCACCAGAGTGTCTGCGGGGGCGGGGGCGCGTCAGCCGGCGTCAGTGCCCGGACCCCGGCCAGGGCCACGCCCGCCCACCGTCCGATGCCACCGTCCAATGAGGGGGTGGCCCGCCCGGGCCCCTCCCGGGCCCCTGCAGGAGGGAGCCAAGCCGCCCGCAGCCCGCGCCCTACCCAGGTCGATGTCCGTGAAGCCCTCGGCCGTGATGGCGTCCGCCGTGTTTTTGTCGATGTTCTCCAGGCACAGGCTGGCGAGCTGCGGTTCGTCGAAGAGGCGCGCCTGGCGAGGGGGAGAGAGCGCCTCAACACCCGGCCCCTGGTGGAGACTTGTCACAGGTCTCTGGTCTCGGGGGCCTGGGTGTCCACACGGGTGTCAGCCCAAGGGGCCGGCGAGATTCTCTCCCTCAAAGTTCACAGACTTGCAGTAACGGCGCCGGGGTCAGGGGTCCGTCTACCCCTAAAGCCACAGCGCCCAGCGGGGACAGCCGACAGGATGGACTCTGGGGAGGTGGGCCCCGTCCCCTCGGGTCGAGCGGGACCCCTGGGGAGAGGGCCTGGAATGACCGCAGGACACACACGCGCCGGCCTCTGACCATCCCGACGGTCAGCAGTGCCACTGCGTCCTCGGACGCTCGCCCACGGGCCGGGGACCAGGGAGGGAGGACACCGGTTCCCTCTGCCTGGGGAGCTGGTGGGCACCGAGGCGCCGACACCCTCTGCGCCCGCTCTGCTGCGCCGGCCGGACACCCCCGCCCCACAACTCTCAGCAGATGCTGGGCCGGCCTCGGCCCCCGCTCGGGCCCTTCAGAGCGACTCAGTGCCCCCCCAACCCCCAGCGGGGCTGCCCCCCGGCCCGGGCCGCCGCACCTGCGTGAGCAGCATGAAGGCGTTGTCGGCCCGGAGGTTCTTCTTCAGGAACTCCACGCAGTGCGCCTCGAGCGCGGGCACCGCGTACTTCTTGGCCGTGTACAGCGTGGTCATGACCGTCTCGGGTCCGATCTGCACCTCGTCCGAGTAGAGAAACCTGGAAGGGGACGCGGCGGCCGTGAGGCAGGAGCCGCCCGGCCTGACCCCGACAGCCGGCGGCTCCACTCGGACCCTCAGACCCAGCCAGTGGGACCCCGCCTCAGCCCCCAGCCCACAGGCCGGCCCCGAGGGACCTTCCAGAACCAGCATCTGCTGCCCTCTGACCTGCAGACATGACCTGGCAAAGACATCACCCGTGAGAACCAGCCAGCAGCTGACCCACCCACCCTCCACCTGGGAAACAAGTCTACACAGCAGGCCTGCTTCTGTCCCCACCAGGGGGCCCGTGGGCACCGTGGGATCTGCCCTGGGACTCGGAGAGGTCCCCACCCCTCCGTACTGGACGTCAGGCCTGACTGCAAAGCTCAGGGACTTTGGGCAAATCGCAGGACCAGAGGGGCGGCCTGAGTCACACTCACGGACACCGTGACCCCCGCTGGCCCACCCTACGTGGGGGTCGGCACTCGGCTGGTGGGGACACAGCTCTGAGCAGCAAGAGTACGTGCCTGGAGAGGCGCCCCTTTCCTGGGTGCCGGGACCCCCTGAGAATGCACCGGAAGCCCAAGCACAACCCCACACAACAGCAGGGGGAGTCCCGCGGGGCCAGGAGACCCTGCACCGAGGAGGCCAGGGATGCTGCTCGACACCCACAGCACCCCGGGCGATCCCCAGAGAGTGACCCGGCCCCGAGGTCAGCAGTGCCAGGGGGACCCTGTAATGGGGACAGGCCACAGCACGTGTGGAGGAGACGGGTGAACCCCTCACACGCCAATGGTGTGTGTCACAACGGTGACGTGTCAGCCCTCTCACGGGGGCAACTGTGCAGTATTCATCAAAACCGAGAGACGGAGAGGGAGACAGAGACGGGGAGACAGAGACGGGAGAACAGCCTTCCACCTGGCCTCCCACCCGAGCTGAATCAGAGGCGGGTCTAGCAAACTGCAACCTGTCACCTGTTGTTGAGTTTTTTTTTAATGGACGTCACTTTTATTTTTCAAATTATGACAAAATACACATAATATTTACCATCCTCACCATTTTAAGTGCACAGCTCAGGGGCATGAAGCACATTCACGCTGTTGTGCAGCCATCCCCACCATCCATCTCCAGAACTTTCTCACCCTCACAAACTGAGACTCTGTCCCCATGAAACACTGACTCCCCCTCCCCCAGCCCCTGGCCCCACCATCCACTTTCTGTCTCTGTGGATGTGACTCCTCTAGGGGCCTCCTGTGAGGGGATCACACAGTGTCTGTCCTTCTGTGTCTGGCTCATGTCACTGAGCATCATGTCCTCAAGGTCCATCCACTTTGAAGCAGGTGTCAGGATTTCCTTCCTTTTCATGGCTGAGTAATATTCCAGTGTGTGGATGGACACATTGTGTGTATCCATCATCTGTCCATGGACACTTGGGGTGTTTCCACCTTTGTCTACTGTGAATCAGGCTGCTGTGAACCTGAGTGTGCACATATTTGAGCCCCTGTTCTCGCTTCTCTCGGGGATGTCCCCAGGACATATGGGTCATATGGTGATTCTCTGTTTAATTTTTTGAGGAACCTCCAGACTGTTTCCACAGTGGCTGCCCCATTTCAGATTCCCACCAGAAGTGCACGAGGGTCTCAATTTCTCCAGATTCTTGCCAACATTTGTCATTTTCCATTTTTTTTTTATAATAGCCATCTGGTGGATGTGAAGCGATATCTCATTGTGGCTCTGGCTCCTGTTTTTGTAAATAAAGTTTTATTGACACACGGCCCTGCTCATAGTTTACAAATCATCCACGGCTGCTTTTGCAGTGACAGTGGCCGAGGTGAGTAGTGGAGGCAGAGCCCATGTGGCCGCACAGCCGAAAACACTTCCCCTCGCAGTCTTCGGGCCCCTGGTCTGAGGGAATGATCTGAGAAGGTACATAAGACAATAAACAAGATTGTTCCACAGAGTGCTGTCGGCAATCGGGGAGACGCTGGGTCGGGCCCCAGGCTCCAACACTATTAGATAGAATCAAGGATCATGGGGCATCCACAGACAGAAGCAGCCAGAACAAAATGCTATGCAATGGCAAATTCTGGACACTGGGTGAGGAAAGAGGGGATGGCGACATGATGGGGCAGAGAGGGGGCTGCAAGCTGATGACACAAACGGGGCACAAGCCTGGAGGAGCAGCCGGGATTCTGCTGTGGTTGTCTGAGAGGGGAGATGGAGGGGAACTCCATGTTTGTATATATGGTTTTCAGTATTTTCTTAATATTTTTTTGGGGGGTGTGAGCTGTGCCATTTTTATAATCAGAAGGGAAAACTAAACTCTATGTTTAAAAAGCTGTTTGAACTGTTCGTGGTAATCTTTAAAGTTACCTACAATTTACACCTAGCACTTCCAGAAGTGGGAGAATCGGGCTCGGCTGAGCAAGGAGAACAGTGTGCAAGTTCTCGAGAGCTCGCTGGCCTCCGGCCTCCACACAGAAGGCCCAGCTCCCTCCTCACTGCCTGGTGCCTCCCCTCCTCCACTCCGTAAAAGTTGTCACCACTTCCTGGGGTCGGTGTGCAGCCCCCTACCCTGGGCATTCACTGTATCTGCTTTAAGATACTGGAGAAGAAATTCTGAAACTCAAAAGGAAAAAATCCAGGTGGGATTTAAAATTCTCACCTTACGCTTCTTTAAAAACTCTGTCGACTACGAAAGATCAAAATGGGGGACTTGCATACACCCTACACCGTGGATGGACCTCGAAACGGGACGCTCAGCAAGAGAACCAGACACAGAAGGACACACGGTGTGTGATCCCACTGATGTGAAATGTCCAGAACAGGCACATCCACAGGCAGAAAGCGGGTTCGTGGTTGCCAGGGGGTGGGGAGTGACTGCTAACAAGTATAGGGTTTCTTTTTGGGATGGGGGAATGTTCTGGAATAAAAGAGAGGTGGTGATTGCACAACTCTCTGAATATACTAAAAACCACTGAATTGTATGGTATGCAAATTACATCTTGATTTAAAAAAGGCAAAAATAAAAACAGGGGGCCTCCAGAGCCCCCCTCACTGCGGAGACGAGTTCCAGAAATCTCCACGGAGCCAGGGGCTCTGAAGGCAGTCACCGGGGTCTTTATTTTCTTCCTGAGCCCGTCTATAAACTTTAAGACATCAGGCTTGTCCGTCCTGCCCCCGCTGGGTGAAGGATCTGGAAAGTCTTACTTGAGCAGGGCCAGGAAGGCAGCCGGCTCCACATCGGGCAGCTCGATCTCGGTGGACGTCGTGGCCATTCCCCCGTTGAACATGGCATCGAAGACGGCGCTGCCCACGGCCAGCACGAACCTGGCGAGTCAGAGAAGACCCCGGTTACCCTCCGCGTGGCCCCGCCTGTCCCCAGTGCCCGAGCCCAGGAGCTGTCCAGGGGCCTCTGTGAGGCCAGTGTGCCCACTGGAGCCCAGGAGGTGCCACAGCAGCGCCTCCTCTGCCAGCACCCCCAGCAGACGCCGTGCCCAGGGCATCCTGGCGGCGGATGCTTCTAGAAGGAAGGCAGAGGAGCGAGAGGGCGAGTCCACGGATCATTAGCAACAAGAGGCCAGAAAGAGAAATCATCTCCCCAGGGGCAAAATGATCCAGGCTCTCTGGTCTCCGACCAACTGTCACTCCCTCCTTCCCTCCCTCCCTCCCTCCCTCCCTTACTTGCTCATTCATTCCCCATTCCCTCACTCCCTCATTCACTCCCTCCCTCACTTATTCACTCCCTCCCTCACTCCCTCACTCCCTCATTCACTCACTCCCTCACTCCCTCAGTATTCCCTCACACTCATTCACTCACTCCCTCATTCACTCACTCCCTCACTCACTCCCTCACTCACTCACTCCCTCACACTCACTCGCTCATTCACTTACTCCCTCACGTATTCACTCCCTCATTCACTCACTCCCTCACTCCCTCACTCGCTCACTCATTCCCTCACTCACCCACCCGACACACACACCTCCTCTCTCGACACACACCTCACACACTGGGGCCCCAGCCTTCTTGGAGGGGGGCAGACACAAGTCAAGTGTACGGAAGGCCTGACAGCAGGGGAGGAAGGAGAAGAATGCAGGACCCTGAAGGGAGCTGGGGTCAGGGAAGGCCTGGCAGGGACATGTCAGCCAGGCTGAGTCTGTCGGGAAGGGTGTCGAGGCCAAGGGAAGGGCAGGAAGATGAGGAGGCGTTAGGAGGTTGATAGCTGCAGGCAGGACTGTGGGTTCTGCCCAGTGTGACGCACCCACTCTGTGCTGTCCATCCACGGTCCCAGGGCCCAACCCATGCCGGCCTCCCCCCAGGGAGGTAGAGACAGCTCGGGGTCTATGGCCCTGTGGTCTGCCCGCTGTAGAGCGCCTGTCCCCAGGTCTGTGAGGTCCTTGCATCATACATCCTCCCAGGGTCCCCACCACAACAAATGCAGGGCTCTGAGCAGCCACTCCCACCTGGAAACCTCTGGAGGGTTCAGCCATCAGCAGACAAGGTAGAGTCAGCCCCCACATCCCACTTCCCGGCCTCTGCCCGGTGCCTTGGGAGACCTCCCCACGGCTCCCGACGAACCCTAGGCCGGGCAGTCCCCTACTCTACACGGGGAGAAGCCCCTCTCCCTCCTCAGCTCCATCTTCTCCATCGTGGGACGTGAGCCCCCAGGCCCTCGTCTAGTCCACAGCCCCACCCAGGGCTCGCCCACACCCCAAGGGCCAGACCAGAGACAGAGGACTAGGTGGGAAACTGGGCACAGTGGGTGAACAGTGGCCCCCAAAGTCACGTCCACCTGGATCAGAATGAACCTCACTTGGAAACAGGGTTGTTGCGATGTCATTAGTCAAGATGAGGTCACCCTAATCCGGGGGGGTCCAAATGCAATGACTGGTGTCCTTATGAGAAGAGGGACATTTGGACACACAGATGACAAGTCCACATGAAGACGAGGCAGAGACTGGGGTGACGCGGCCACAAGCCCAGGGACGCCAGAGCCCCCAGAGGCTGGGAGAGGCAGGAAGGACCCTCCCCTGGAGCCTCCAGAGGGAGCGCAGCCCTGCCCACTGTGATCTCGTGAACGAGTGGATTCCAGGACCGAGAGGGGGTAAAGCTCGGTGGTTTATCCGCCCCAGGACGCTCATGCCCCATTTAGCTGCCAGCCTCACCTGCGTCCCCCCTCGCCCATTCACCACAGCAGCCAGGTCCCCAAGCCCCCTCGATGCACTCCCACACACGCTCCATAAATAAAGTGCCTTCCTGTTCATCCTTTCTTTCTAGACTTAAAAAAGCATCTTGATCTCCTGCGGGGAAAACGATTCAAAGGCAGAAATAAGGCCGCCCATCTGGGCCTGGCGACGTCTTTGCAGAGCCACTCAAGGCGGGGCGGTCAAGGATCTCACGCACCCTCGGTGCCCTTGGCGGTGGACATGGTGAGAAACCCCAGGACCTGGAAAGGCTGGCGGGTCCGAGCAGGTCTGCCCCATCCCCAAGGCTCCTTCACCCACGGCCCACCCACCTGGCCCCTCCTGGTCAGACCCCCTCGTGGCCTTCAGGTTCCGGCCACCAAGCCTGCTCCCTCAGCGCCTCTGCTCGCTCTTGCCTCCTGCCCCATGCCCGGCTGGCACCCCCATGTGTCTTCTACCCTCCCTTCTCCTTCCATCTCCAAAAACAGAACAATAAATGCACCTCACCCACTAGGATGGCTAGCATAAAGAAACATGGACAATGACAAGATGACAGAATGCACTGAAATCAGGGCGTTCATGCATGGCTGGTGGGAATGCAAGGGGTGCAGCTGCTGTGGAGAACAGTCTGGTGGCTCCTCAGATGGTTAAACATGGAGTTCCCATGTGACCCAGCAATTCCACTCCTATGTATGTACCCGAGAAATGAACACACACATCCACACAAAACCTGTACACCCATGTCCACAGCAGCATGTTCATATCAGCCAAAAGGTGGACACACCCAAAGGTCCTACAGTGGGTGAAGAGATAAACACAACGTGTCCATCCACACACTGGAATATTACTCGGCAGTGAAAAGGAGTGAAGCCCTGACACAGTTACACAGTGGATGGACCTGGAGGACACGATGCTCAGTGAGAAAACCAGACACAGAAGGGCAGATACTGTGTGACCCACTCACAGGAGGTCCCTAGGGGAGTCACATCCACAGACACAGAAAGTAGATGGTGGGGCCAGGGGCTGGGGGAGGGGAGGGGGAGTCAGTGCTTCATGGGGACAGAGTTTCAGTTTGGGAAGATGGAAAGTTCTGGAGATGAATAGACGGGATGGTTGCACAACAACATGAATGTGCTTCATGCCACTGAGCTGTGCACTTAAAAATGGTTAAGACAGTAAGTTTTATATTATGCATATTTTACCACAATTTAAAAACTTAAAATTAAAAAAAAAGGACATTGGGGCCGGCCCCATGGCATAGTGGTTAAATTTGGTGCGCTCCACTTCAGTGGCCCAGGTTTGCGGGTCTGGATCCCAGGCGCAGCACTCATCAGCCATGCTGTGGTGGCGTCCCACATACAAAGTAGAGGAGGACTGGCACAGATGTTAGCTCAGGGACAATCTCCCTCAACAAAAAACACGACATGGTGACATACTACCCTGAGGGGGCAGGGAAGAAAAGACCACCTAAGTAGCTTTGGAAAACAAGTTAAGGCCAAAATAACTGTACACCATACTGTATTCTACTTAGTAAATTTACTTTTCACAGAAGAGGGGTTCACACTCTGAAATGACTTTATGAATATTCTAGAATCATACAACTAAGCAAATGTGTTGTGGAGAATGAGAGCCAGGGGTACCATCATGGGGGAGAGAGTGAAAAATGGGGGGGGGGGGGACCAGAATGCACCAGATTCAGAGATATCAAGATGATCTCATGGCTTGTAGGTGGGCAGGTGGGTGGACGGATGGATGGAGAGACAGACAGACATAGGAATAAATGCAGGTATGTGTGTGTGAGTACACTTCCCAGCTCTGTCTGCTCAGGCGGCCTCTAAACAGTGACACTCCAGCAGCAGTGAGCACACCAGCGCCCAGATCTTGGTTCCTAAATCCTGTTCTCCACCAACAGGAACGAGGCTCCTCGGAGAAATGGCTGATTCCAGGGCCGGGCAGGGAAAGGACAGGATGAGCCTAGGGTGTCCTGTGGGGCCAGAAAGTAAAGAAATGCTCCAAACATGATGGGGAATGTAGAAGGGACACAGGAGCCACCTCTAAGGACCCCCAATGGCCAAATCTGGGACAACGTGAGAAACCAAACAGTGTTCCTGCTGGATGATGACCTATGGGATGAGATACACGTCCACGATGACACAAATAAATGACTGAATGGACAGAGGAATCAGGACAGGGGACAGCTCTTCCTTTTGGAATTCTAGTTAATAAATGCAGAAGGGGGGCCGGCCCCGTGGCTTAGCGGTTGAGTGTGCGCGCTCCACTGCTGGCGGCCCGGGTTCAGATCCCGGGCGTGCACCGACGCACCGCTTCTCCGGCCATGCTGAGGCCGCGTCCCACATACAGCAACTAGAAGGATGTGCAGCTATGACATACAACTATTTACTGGGGCTTTGGGGGGAAAAAATAAATAAATAAAATCTTTAAAAAAAAAAATGCAGAAGGGGTTATGGAAAGAGAAAATCACCACATGGTGAACACGAGACTAATGACTGTTTCCAGCGAGAACAGCACCCCTAGATGCTACGACCAGTGGGCAAAAGGAGGAGAGATGGGAGGTGTGTGATCTCAAGTATCCTGCGGGAAGAGCTATTTACAGGGGACCATGGTGACATTACGGTAGAGAAACTCGCAGACGCCACCTGACCCCATAACCAGGGCTCACATCACGAGATGGGACGGATGGATATCGTGGGCCCTGAGAAGGACACGCATCACTGCTTCGCATCCAGAGTCTCAAGGGATGAAAGTGGAAAGATGGGAACAGACACACGGTGCGGACGCAAGCCGTGAGAGAGCCCGAGGGGCTGCACTCATACCAGACAGGACAGATGGCGAGACGAGGAACATTACCAGGAAATGGACATTCCATATGAACAGACGGTCAGGACCCAGGACCAGGTAACAAAGATCAATGTGCATACACCTAGGAACAGAGTTCCAAGCAAACCAAGCAGGAACAGAGTGTTAAAAGGAGTAAGTCAACAATTACTGTCAGAGGGGTCCACGCCTCACTCTCAGTAACTGACAGAAGCAGACAGAACATCGGCAAGGACACAGAACAGAACAGCCCCATCAGCCGACCTGACCAAACTTAACTTCACAGAACCCTCAACCCAACAAAGGCAGAATGCGTGTTCTTTCTAAGCGCACGCGGAACATTCT